CATGACTAATTAAAGGATAATTAATCCTGCTTTTCAAGTATATTCAATCACAAGTATGTAAATGTGTAGATATATATAATAAGTTGAAAACTCGAGCTTAATTTATCAAGAATTTCATTTGTATTTTAATAAATATTCTATGATCATGGTGTTGTTGTATAATCTTATGATACTAAAATGCATATGCATGCAATCCTTGTTTAACAGTATACTTACTTCATCACAATCTTGTTGGGCCCAGACACACAATGGTAAGTTTAAGTGGCGTTTAATTACTATATATTAAAGCATACGTAATTAGATTATAGACCAAGCTTGAAATATACCGCTAGATCTAATCTTTCTCAAATAGGAGCCGTTAGCTTGATTGGTATATAATTTACATAAAGTTGACTTTAAAGAACTTCTTATGCTGCTCCGACCTAACCTTCTCTTTGACCCTTCGGTTCACATCACAGCAGCAACATTGAATAAATGTAAACTGAAATTCTTTGTTGCAACCAAATTTATACCCAAAAAAAAAAAATCTTATTGCAAATTTCACTATGGGTGTAAATTTATATCCACATACTGGCATTTATAGATTGGGTACTGGATACTGGATCTAACCATATAGTTCGTCGTACCAAAGTAAGAACAACAAACGTTATAAACGTGTGAATTCGGACTAGAAGTTCAATAGAATGTTATTCCAACGAAATATAACGAAATAAAACGATTAGTAAGTTTATGCATAAAAAAACATACACATAGGCACAACTTATACACCCAATTATGTTGATAATCAGCAAATAGAAATTGATGAAGAGTAAAACTACGTACCGAGGAGAAGATAGTAGTTGCAGAGACTCGAACACTCATGATGCTCGTTTTGAACATTGTAGGTACTTAATGTTCCTATATATATACGATATATCGATAGATATGTTTTTAGGATTTGTAATAATTACGTAAAGCTGAATTAGGTTAAAAGAACGACATAATTGACCGGTAGATTTGGTCTCTCATTTGTGTCTTCAATGGAAAGTTTGATCTTATTGTTTAGAGAGATAATCGAATCATAAAAATTATAGAAACCTGTTAGGTACCAACTAATACTCTCCAGTTTAATTACTCTCATCTTTAAACGTCTCTCTTTTTCTCTCTACAAGTTATAGCCATTGTAGAAGGTAGATATATGGTTGTC